TTGAAAAATATATTTAATTAAACAAATTTCTATGCTTAAGGATTTTGATTGTCTAGCATTGCTTACTCAAATAAATCTCTGTCTCACTTTCAGACACCAGTATGCAAACAGACACAATTAAGTAGAGAAGCTTAGGAATAAAGGTATAAACGCATTCACAAGCTTTCTTCTTATGTGAGTGTTCATTCGCGGGATGCTGTGACTTTATGTAAATGCGTAAATTAGGTCCTGACAAATAGGCATTGATAGCTTTGTTCCCGTAGACGAGTGCAGAGACATGGAGCCAAGTATCTGGGTCAAAGTGTACCAGAAGCAGCCGAGCGCCAAATCTCTGATAAAAAACTTTTACTCTTTATACGGCCTTCTATGAACCAACCAAATTGGAGTTAAACGTCCTTAGTAGTCTTGATCGATTTCAGAACTAGTCTCTGCCTAGATCGTAGATGCTCACAATTAGCTAGGCTTTAGCCGTGTGAGGGAGCTTCCATAGACTATTAGCATGAGCCTATATTAAAAACATGATATAGCAATTTTAGCATAGGATTATAGATGGTAATTAAATGCGAGCTCAAAACAGTCTCAAAGGAAGGCGAACGTATTCCGGTGCTTGATCTCATAATAATGTCCTTGTTTTATAAAATATGTGAATATAATAGCCTTAAATAGGAATATTTGTTATTTAACAGCAAACTCGCAAGCAGGAAGAATTTCAGCGAGTTACAGGGAAAGTCCACTAGAAACAAGATGTTTATAAACTAGGACTTCGATGAGAAATATAAGTCAAGAGACATGACTTTGAAGCAATCAACTCCTAAGCCTGAAAAAGTTAGGCAAACTAATTTGTTTGTACGTTTCTATAAAGGTGAGAAATATCGCTGGCTTCTACTTACTAATATGTTTAGGTGTCACAGTCAATGTAGACTAGAAACAGAGGATCACAAATCTCGGATACTTGCTATTGCAGATTTCTCCCTGGATTGGCAAGTCCTAACATGGCCGAAAATATTTTAAAATCATCTTCATAATTAATTCGCCTAATTTTAACAGATATTCAACTTCCTGGGTATTGAGCTTTTTCATTTTGGTGATAGTATTTAATAATATAGTATTGATCCTAACTTCAGTTAATCGGCTAAGTGAATTTTTGGAGTAACCATTCATAGTCAAAATTACAGAATGAATAAATAAACTGAAAAGCATAGCTAATTTTTTGATGATTTCTCCGGAAAGCCAAAGTAACATAGTGCTATTATAATATCAACTAAGGCTGAATTATCGGGTATTATTATTTAGTGGATTAGATGGCATTAGAAAAAATAGAATAATAAACTCTTATAACAGCTGATAAGCAATATTTCTTATCACTGACTGCAAACTATTATCTACATACCTAGTGCGAAGCCACACTTAATTACCATCCTCCAAGCGTCAGAAAATAATAGATTAAAATTGATTAAAATAATTTTACATCTCACGAAGAGATGATTAGATTTATTCAGATATTCAATCGACCTGTATTATTAAAAGACGTCAAAAAATATAAACAAGTAAATAAGCCAAAGTTCTTTTTTGAAGCAATGAGTTGATAATAAGTCGTGATAAGAGGATAATTGATAGATTTGCTTGAGAGCAGATTTTCAAATGCCTGCCAAATAAGGAGACAAAGCGAAATTTTGGTAAGTTTTTTATTTGAGTACTTTGCTCAAATAAAGAACGTATTCAATATAGTTAGTAACCTAAGGCGTAAAGGCATCAATGCATTGATTTTATATCCTATTTTATTTTTTGTTTATGAGTAGGATTTTGACACAAAATGAGTGAAGATTCAATAGGTTTATTCACTTATTCCTCCCTCTCTCTAAATCAACCGAGTACACTTACCATTGTTCTAGATTTACATTTAGGCAAAATGAATTAAAAATTAATAAAAAAAGGATTGTGTTGAAGATGTATGTTTACTCTGTAGATATGTTCCCCAATTAACTCCTAGTTATGTAGTGAAAGTTTGCAATACTTCGAGTGGTCGATTCATTGTTAAGTTTTACTCATGAACCAAATAAAGGAAGTTAGACTTTAGAAAAAAGTCTTAAATTCAAAATATTTTAAAATTTTTTCTAAGCAATTTATCAAGATAGCATATAGATAATAAAGGTTGGGTGGATGCATATCTTCTGTAAAAATTCTCCTGAAAATAATCAATAAAAAAATCCTCATACCCCAGTAATTAACTTATGTATATTTGCGGAAGATAGCGGAACTAGAATACCTTGGCATAATCTTAATGTATAATCTGTTACCCAACGATTATATGGTTATGTGCGGTCGATTTATACTTGTTTCCCTCCAGATATCCACAAATTTGGGTAAACTCCTTTAGGCC